ACCAATCGATATCGGATTGAGTCCAAAACCTGGGGAACATCATAATATGGTGGGAGGAGTCATTTGGTGGGTTCTCAGTGAAATCCAGTAGCTAACACTATGCAATACACCAACCACTGAATTTCATAAGGAACTTCGTACGAACCTGAATTGTCCGATTTCATGGACCAATCGATATCAGATTGAGTCCAAAACTGGGGGAACATTATAATATGGTGGGACTAGTCATTTGGTGGGTTTTGAGTGAAATCCAATCCCTAGAACTATGAAATACACCAAGGACTCCATTTTTGAACGAACTTCGTACGAACTTGAATTGTCCGATTTCAAGCACCAATCGGTATCAGATTGTGTCCAAAACTGGGGGAACATTATAATATGATGGGACGAGTCATTTGGCCGCTTTCGAGTGAACTCCAATCTCTAGAACTATGCAATACCCCAACGACTCCATTTCTGAACGAACTTCGTACGAACAGGAATTGTCCGATTTCGTGGACCAATCGATATCGGATTGAGTCCAAAACCTGGGGAACATCATAATATGGTGGGAAGAGTCATTCGGTGGGTTTTGAGTAAAATCCAATCTCTAGAACTATGAAATTTCCTAACGACTCCATTTCTGAACAGACTTCGTACGAACCTGAATTGTCCGATTTCAAGGACCAATCGAAATCAGATTGAGTCCAAAACTGGGGGAACATTATAATACTGTGGGAGGAGTCATTTGGTGCATTTTTAGTGAACTCCAATCTCTAGAACTATGCAATAAACCAACGAGTCCATTTCTGAACGAACTTCGTACGTACAAGAATTGTCCAATTTCATGGACCAATCGATATCGAATTGAGTCCAAAACTTAGGGAATAACATAATATGGCGGGAGGAGTCATTTGATTTGTTTTGAGTGAAATCCAACAGCTAAAACTATGCAATACACCAACCACTCCATTTCAGAAGGACCTTCGTACGAACAAGAATTGTTCGATTTCATGGAGCAATCGACATTGGATTGAGTCCAAAACTTGGGGAACATCATAATATGGTGGGAGGAGTCATTTGGTGGGTTTTGAGTGAAATCCAATAGCTAAAACTATGCAATACACCAACTACTCCATTTCATAAGGAACTTCGTACAAACCAGAATTGTTCGATTTCGTGGAGCAACCGATATTGGATTGAGTCCAAAACTTGGGGAATGTCATAACATGGTGGGAGGAGTCATTTGGTGGGTTTTGAGTCAAATCTGATGGCTAAAACTATGCAATACACCAACCACTCCATTTCATAAGGAACTTCGTACGAACCTGAATTGTCCGATTTCATGAAGCAATCAATATCGGATTAAGTCCAAAACTTCTGGAACATCATAATATGGTCGGAGGAGTTATTTGGTGGGTTTTGAGTGAAATCCAATCCCTAGAACTATGAAATACACCAACGACTCCATTTCAGAAGGAACTTCGTACGAACCTGAATTGTCCGATTTCATGGAGGAATCGATATCGGATTGAGTCCAAAACTTGGGGAACATTCTAATATGGTGGGAGGAGTCATTTAGTTGGTTTTGAGTGAACACCAATCTCTAGAACTTTGCAATACACCAACGACTCCATTTCTGAACGAACTTCGTAAGAACAACGATTTCATGGACCAATCAATATTAGATTGAGTCCAAAACTTGGGGAACATCATAAAATGATAGGTGGAGTCATTTGGTGGGTTTTGAGTGAACTCCAATCACTAGAACTATGCAATACGCCAGTGACTCCATTTCAGAAGGAACTTCGTACGAACCTGAATTGTCCGATTTCGTGGAGCAATCGATATCAGATTGAGTCCAAAACTTGGGAAACATCATAATACGGCGGGAGGAGTCATTTCGTCGGCTTTGAGTGAAATCCAATCTCTAGCACTATGAAATTCACCAACAACTCCATTTTTGAACGAACTTCGTACGAACCTGAATTCTTCGATTTCATGGACCAATCGATATCAGATTGAGTCCAAAACTGGGGGAACATTGTAATATGGTGGGAGGAGTCATTTAGTTGGTTTTGAGTGAACTCCAATCTCTAGAACTTTGCAATACACCAACGACTCCATTTCTGGACGAACTTCGTACGAACAAGAATTGTCCGATTTCATGGACCAATCGATATCAGATTGAGTCCAAAAGTTAGGGAACATAATATGGTGGGACGAGTCATTTGGTTGGTTTTGAGTGAAATCTGATATCTAGAACTATGAAATTCACCAACGACTCCACTTCTGAACGAACTTCGTACTTACAAGAATTGTCAGATTTCATGGACCAATCGATATCGGATTAAGTCCAAAACTTGGGGAACATCATAATATGGTGGGAGGAGTCATTTGGTGGGTTTTGAGTCAAATCTGATGGCTAAAACTAGGCAATACACCAACCACTCCATTTCATAAGGAACTTCGTACGAACCCGTATTATCCGATTTCATGGAGTAATCAATATCGGATTGAGTCCAAAACTTGGGGTACATCATAATATAGGGGGAGAAGTCATTTGGTGGGTTTTGAGTAAAATCCAATCTCTAGAACTATGAAATTCCCCGTCGACTCCATTTCTGAACGAACTTCGTACGAACCTGAATTGTCCGATTTCATGGACCAATCGATATCAGATTGAGTCCAAAACTGAGGGAACATTATAATATGGTGGGAGGAGTCATTTGGTGCGTTTTGAGTGAACTCCAATCTCTAGAACTATGCAATACACCAATGACTCCATTTAAGAACGAACTTTGTGCGTACATGAAATGTCCTATTTCATGGACCAATCGATATCGGATTGAGTCCAAAACTTGGGGAACATCATAATATGGTGGGAGGAGTCATTTGGTGGGTTTTGAGTGAAATCCAATCTCTAGAACTATGAAATTCACCAACGACTCCATTTCTGAACGAACTTCATACGAACCTGAATTGTCCGATTTCATGGACGAATCGATATCAGATTGAGTTCGAGAATGGGGGAACATTATAATATGGTGGGAGGAGTCATTTGGTTGGTTTTGAAGGAACTCCTATATCTAGAACTATGCAATACACCAACGACTCCATATCTGAACGAACTTCGTACGAACAAGAATTGTCCGATTTCATGGACCAATCGATATCGAATTGAGTCCAAAACTTGGGGAACATCATAATATGGTGGGAGGAGTCATTTGATGGGGTTTGAGTGAAATCTAATTGCTAAAACTATGCAATACACCAACCACTCCATTTCAGAAGGAACTTTGTACGAACCTGAGTTGACTGATGTTATGGACCAATCGATTTTGGATTGAGAACAAAACTTGGGGAACATCATAATATGGCGCCGTTGCCGGGGAACCGGTAACGTTGGTGCTATTGTTGAATTACTTTGATTGTTTTGTTTTTGTTTGTTTCATTTGTTCCTTTTCGTTGGTTTTTCTTTTAGTATTCAGTTTTTGTATTTGGTTGTTATCTCCATAGAAAGCACTGAATTGAGTTCCTTGGTGTGTGCATGTCCGAATCTGACCAGGAGCAAAGTTCACCTGAGCCACTTTCACCAAGAACTGCTGCTATACGTGCTGGTTTGAGGAGGAGTTATAGTTCTTCAAGAACTGATTCTAAAAGTTCCAAATCTGAAGGTTCAAACACAATGGCAGAGATTCCGAACAACAACAATAATGTTGAGGGAGGTGGTGCGCTTGTTGTCCAACCTCGAAAACCCCTGCGTGAGTTTTCCATTCCCAAAGTCACCCATCAACCTTCGTTCATCGTCTATCCAAAACTCACAGTTGACAGGTTTGAGCTTAAAAGTGGTATGATTCATCTTCTTCCAACTTATTATGGTAAGACCACTGAGGATCCTTACATGCATATTAAGCAATTCTTTGAAATATGTGCTACGATCAAAATTCATGGCCTTGATGATGAGCAGATTAAGATGAGGCTATTCCCATTCAGTTTAAAAGATAAAGCTAAGTCTTGGTTATACTCTTTGCCTAATGCTTCAATTCATGCTTGGGAAGAGCTTTCTAATAAGTTTTTGCAGAAATTCTTTCCGGCTCAAAAGACTAACAAGATTAGAAAGGAAATCCTTGGTTTCACACAAAAGGAAGGAGAAGCTTTTCATGAATGTTGGGAGAGGTACAAGGAGATGATAAGTTCTTGCCCACACCACAACATAGAGAGTTGGATGCAAATGCAATCTTTCTATGAAGGTTTGCTTGATTCCGAAAGGATGATGGTAGATGCAACAAGTGGAGAAGGACTGATGAACAAAACAGCAGAGGAGGCTTCTTTTGCAGAGCACATGCTAGAACAAGCAAATGCCCTTCAAGCAAGGAATCCTAATAATGATCCTTACTCAAACACGTACAATCCGGGGTGGAGAAATCATCCTAATTTCAAGTGGAGCAATAACTCAAACGTGCAACCATCTCAATGACCTCCCCCGGGATTTCAAGTACAACAAAGGCAATTCCAGCAAGCTCCCCAACAAGTGCAAGAGAAAAGGGGTGATCAAATGGGAGAATTGCAAGAAATGTTCAAGAAGTTCATAAAGCAACAGA